GTACCCTAGGCTAGGCTTCCATCCATGCCACATTTCAAATGGGGTGCGTTCAATGGTAGGCTGTTCTCTAGGTATGTTGCAGTCATGACTGCTTCTCCCCAGGACTTCTTAGGTAGGTTGGCATCTGACAAGAGTACAAATTTTCCGTTTCGCTACACCATTTTGTTCAGGAGTGTATGGTGTGATTGTCTGGTGTACTATACCTTGTTTCTTCAGATAGAATTCCACTTCCTTACTGATGTATTCCCCTCCGTTGTCAGTAATTCCTGGTTTCCGTTGGAATCTGTTGTTGGACATGGCTCTTGAAGTGTTTCTGATGTTTCATTCTTGTGCTTCATCAGATAAGTTGTTGTGTACCTGGAAAAATCATCAATGAAAGTCAGTAGATATCTGTTCCCGCCTGATGTGGGAGTTTGGCCTTTGCTTCCATACAGCATTTGCATGTCATGTGCATTTGGCAGATTACAGTTATATCTTCTGATAAGCCTCTCTTTATAGTGTCTTTTATGGCTTCTGGTTTTCAGTGCCCCAGTTGTCTGTGCTATATGTGGATGCATTTGTTGTGTTTATTATGAGTGGCTGTCTTGACTTGTTCATCTGCAGTTATGAGTCTGTACAGGTGTTCATCCAATTTTCCTTTTGCGAAGGATTTGCTTATTGTTTCGAATTGTACATTCATCACCTTGGAATTGAAATGTAAGACCATTTTTAGCAAGCAGGGTTTTCACTGATAGAAGGCTTCCTTCTAGGTCTGGGACATACAGTACATTTTTCACAAAGATACTCTGCTTGTCCTCTGATGGTGTGATGCAGTTCATGAATCCTTGACCTTTACCGTCAGCAGTAATACTTTTCCTGATTGCTAGGAAAACTTTGCACTGAAATACATTTCTGTGAAGAATGTCTCATCACCAGTGGCGTAACAACCAATATGGGGGGGGGGCGAAAAAAAATGTTCTGCCCCGGGAGCCCATAACTCTGGTTACGCCACTGCTCATCACTAGTCATGTAAAACGAAACGCACTCATCAACTCATAACCAGCTTCAAAGCAAGGTGCACATGGAAAGGCTTTATACAGTACAACAGCAAAAAGTTTCCCAGCACACTCACCAGCCATCCTGCAAAAAAAAAAAACCTGTCTAACCGCTAAGGTTAAAAACAGAGGTTTAGATAAACGTCTTCTGCAGAATATGTGGAAGCTGCACTACCTCTGTATAGTGCGGTCCTAAATCTAACCTATGAGAGTCTCCATCTTGGAGCATATGTAGCAAAAGGTAAATTGGCTGCAGGTTCACCAGGAGGCAGCCCAACCTCCTTCAAGGCACAGGGACACACCAGGGATCCTGCACATCACAACAGCAGCTGAGAGCCCTAGTGTGTTACTGCACTAAATCAGCTGCTGTTGTGATGTGCGGGGTCCCTGGTGTGTCCCTGTGCCTTTAAGGAGGTTGAGCTGCCTCCTGGTGAACCTGCAGCCAATTTAGATGGATGGTGACTCTCATAGGTTAGATTTAGGACCGCACTATACAGAGGGGCCTTGACGAGGCAGTGCGGCTTTCACATTTTCTGCAGAAGACATGTATCTAAAACTTCTGTTTTTAACCTTAGCAGTTAGACTGTTTTTGTTGCTCCTGAGTCAATACACCATCCTTGTGGTATACTGTTCTGAGTCCTTTTAAAGGTAGCACTCCATGATGTGCCTGAAGTTTCCTTTGTAGCTGCCTTAGCTCTTTCTCTTATAGGTGACTCTTGCTTTCCCTGCTCAGCTTTCCAGCTTGAACAGTCTTTTTTCAGGTGACCAGTCTTTTTACAGCGAAAACACGCTCTCCTTTCTTTGTTTTTCTTTGTGCTCTCATACACCATAAGGGCTTTCTCGTTTTCTTCATTGTGCATATTTTCTTTCCTTCTGTCCTATTCATCGATTCATTTTCCTTTGGTGTATTCTTGTGTTAGTTCCGGCTCGGGTCTGGTTTCCAGAACAATAATAAGAGCACTGTATGACTCTGGAAGGCTGCATAGTAATAATGCTACCACACGGTTATCTTTAATTTCCTCTCTAAATGAGACATAGACGTAGACATAGCTATTCTACACCAGGGACCCCGCACATCACAACGGCAGCTGAGACCCCCAGTGTGTTACTGCACTAAATCAGCTGCCGTCGTGATGTGCGGGATCCTTGCGGGGCCCCATTCCTGGCGTCCTGTACAATATATACACACATACATACATATATATATATATACACACACACACACACACACACACACACACACACACACACTGTGTGTGTGTGTGTATATATTGTACAGGACCCCAGGAATGTGTCCTGGGATGGATGGTATATCCCTCCCTTGTTTAGGTGGTGGTCCCGTTAAGGTCACCTTGTATTCAGGGTTCTTGCCAAGCAGGGTGAGGGGTTTCCGGGTCGGACTTGTAAGGGAAACTGCTACGCAGTCTTCACAGAGTTGTTAATTATACATGGATCTCTGAATCTGGAGGCTCAGAGTTTTTTTTGGTGGGACAGAGCCTCCATCCCTGACTAGAGCCAGTTCTGGTAATGAAAGGGATAACCCATCAGCCAGAGGGTGTGTTAAAAAGGAACAAGAAGCCAGTCAGTCTGTGTCTGTGAGGAGTGTTTGGAGCAGGACACAGGCTGTGTGTGTTAAGCTGTGGAATACCGTCTACCGAGACACTGCGGGGGCACCTGTGTCCATACTGGAACCCTCGGTGAGCAGGCTGAGACTCTAACCCTGAGGTGGGTGGAACTTGGTATACAGGCGCTGAGCCGAATCTTGTGTTTGCTGACAATAAGCCATGTTGATTTTTTCATTCTGCTGAATATAAACCATTTTATTTGATTGTTTGAGGAAAAGAATAAACGTTTATTTGCTGATACAGCTGGCTACGGGTCATATCCACCCTGAATATATATAAATATATATAGTTTTCCTTTACAGTCTCCATATTATGAATATAATTCATATTGTAGAGGACGGAATGTCTAGTGAACCAATTTGTATTCTACTATGTTCACATGCAGCCACAGAAGCATACAGTGAGTGACTCATGCTATGCTTTGCAAACATAGAGACTGCAGGAACTTTTTTTTATTGTGTACATGTCAAGTGCTATTCCTAGAATTGTTAAACAGAAAGCCTACAGCTCCACCAATCCTGGATATCATTCATACATTCTTCAGAGAATTGAATTTCAATAGATTTTTTATTGAAGATTTTTTTCATCGTTATGACAAAGTGAACAAACATCAAAGGAAAAAAAAAATAAAGAAAATAACTGGCATAGGTTCAGTAGGAATAGCGTAGAATTCAATGACCAAGATGCAAGTAGAAAACATAGTTAACTATCAGTTCAAAACAAACAGTACAATGTAAACATAGTGACCAAACAGTCTGGACTAAGTTACGCATAAAACAGTGAAGTTGCGTATATCGCTCATGGATTGACTGCTGGTATAGATGTTTTGGACCATTGAACCCATGGAAGCCATTTCTCATCGAATTCTTTCAATGACCCTTCCCTATAGGCTATAAGTCTTTCGTAATGGTAGTGAAGCTTCACTATTGAGAGAGTTTCACCAGGTGAGGGAGTTATGGAGCAGAGAATTTAAAGGTGTTATGCTTTTCATATATCGGTCATTTATTTCTTGTTTTGGCTTGTATTTCTAAAGTTCGAGATTGTCTTAGAAAACCATTTTAATTATTTGAAAAGCAAAATATGACAAACATTTGAAGAAGGGAAATCAGAGAAAACCTGTTCAGGGGATTATTAGATGGGTGTAAGATAGCATCCTGTTACCCTTCATTATATTCTAGCCAGCTGATGCAGTCTATTCCAATTTCTTCGAGGGATTAAAATTGCAAGAATGTATCAAACATTGTTGCAGATTCTTAACTGCTCAGTTTCTGGAGGTATTGATTTAAAACATGGCCTGTGAGACCTGTGACAGTCTCATTGTCACAGGTCGGCTAGAACTATGAGGTGAGTGAAAAGCACTTACCTCATAGTTCTCCTTTCAGGGGAAGAGTCTGTATTTACACACGAATTTGAAAATGAAGTTCCAGTGTTGTAAAAGAAAAAGCTGCCAACTTGGCAATGGCATCCCTGTAGTCAAGCAAGGGTTTTGGAAAGTGTTTTACCAAAGATAAACTCATAATCCTATGGACACCTGTATTGTGACTTCAAGGTGTGTGCAAATGTCTGGGAAAGAATTGAAACACATGAGCGTGAACATGCCCAGATAGCAAGGATAACTTGCCACAAACTTGTGTCAGGTTGTGTCAGAAATTGTAATGCTTGTTAACTTGCTGCACACATTCCTGGCAAGTTGTAGACTTGCAGAACACTTGCAGCACAAGTTCTAGTTGACACTTTTTGAATTTGTAGCAAATTTGCTTGGCAAGTCTACAGCAAGAGTCCTGCAAGTCTTAGCAAGAGCTCTGCAAGCTTGCTGGTCTGGAGACTTGCAATGCAGACTTGCTGTAATTGTGCAACAAAATTGTGAAGCTTGGCAAGTCTACAATAGTTTAGCAAGTCATTTTCAAACTTGCAGCCCAATTTCTTGCTACCTGGGATGGGAACTCTGGAGTGTATTAACATACCTTGAACGGAGAAGTATTGGAAATATTAATTATTAAACTGAGGAATTTGTACAGTATATGAAATATAAAAATTTAATTAGTAGAAGAAAAGATATGTTATATAATATTTTTTACTATATTTATTTTAATGAATATACTACGATGAAATGTCTATGTTTGATAAGCCGTCCAGTTGGAAGCTTGTTCCTCTGGTGAAGTGTTGATGTTGAATTATATCGTGTAAAAACTTTAAATAAAGAATATAAAACATACCTTGGACGAAGTCCCAATCCTAAAAAATATTATGAGCATACAATATCTCCTATATGATACACAGTGCAAATAATGTGTCTTCTTTTAATGTTGTTGTGTTTTTTGTTTTGTTTTTTGTAGGAAAATGCTCCCAAACGGCACAAGAAGAAATTTTTTAAGAAACCTACATTCTGGATAGCCATCATATTTGTACTGTTTGTACTTGTAACAATTATCAGTCTTGTGCTTTATTCATGTAAGTGAAGTTAACATGCAATACTTTTCTTTCTTTTTTTTTTTTAGAAAGCCTTAAGTTTTTCTTAAAGCGTAAGTAAAGCGTTAATTTTTTATTTAAAGAAAGTGCTGCAGAGTTGTTTCCCATAGTGTGTTACTATGCTTACATAATAGCACATTATGGCTGACTTACCTTAAAGCCAATTTCCACCTTTTGCGAGGTATTTAAAAAAAAAAAAAAAAACATATGCCAGCAATGTACACCAAGTGCACATGGAGCAGGCACGGAGAGCATGCATAAACTTATGTTTTTTGTTAACTTTCCTCTTTATATCCTCATGGAAATGGCATCCACTCTGCTCTGTGCTCTCTCTGTGATCCCTTTATTCTCCCCTCTTCCCCCGGACAGTGTATTGTGTGCAAAGGCAGCGCTGGTGTTTAGTGATCGTGTTACACTGAATCACGGGGAGGGAGCTGTTTACAGGGTGTCAGACTGAATTTCCTATGGAGAACATTTCTAGAAGAATTTCTAGCATTTAGGAAGAAAGCCTGCAATGTGAGTCATGAAAATGTGCACATGCATACATCATCATTGTACCTCATTACCACAATAAATGCTAATCACTTACAAAGGTGTAAATGGACTTTAAAAACTATCCCATCCAGCGATGCACTGTCCGCTCACCCCTCTGGCACTGCCATCTTCTCCCAGTCTTCTTCCAGGTTCAGCATCTTCAGCCTTTTGATTGCCTGGTCGGCATGATGTAACCCCTAAGCATGAGCACAGGAGTTACTTAATCTTTGCATGCCGGGTCTGTACACTGAGCTGGGCATGCGCAACTGGACACAGTTGGTCTGGATACAAGCCAGAGGTCAAGTCATTCAACGGACAAGGATAACCAGGATACTAGCCAATCATCAGGGTAGGTAGCGGACATAGATAATCCTACAAATCCCAGCAATACATTATTCAGCAATGCAGTGTAATATGAAGATACATACTCACCAGAGCTGTGTGGCATCTCAGGAGGCTGTGTGGGGTCTCATCAGGGCTGTGCAGGGTCTCACCAGGGCTGTGTGCGGTCTCGCCAGAGCTGTGCAGGATTTTGCCGGGGTGTGTGTGCGGGGTCTCACCAGGGCTGTGCGGGCAGGTGTTGGTCTCACCAGGGCTGCGTCCGGGTCTCACCAGTTGGCCTGGGCTGGCGACAGGGTCTCTTTAAGTTCTCCCTTTTTTTTTTTCTTTTCTAAATTAACTCTGTTTACACTGCTATCCATCTTTACATGTTTCTAGCTAAAGTTTTGCTTAAGTACAAGGATTTATTGGTTCACATAAATTGCAATCGCATAAATTGCAATACTTGTTCAAGTTGACCAACTGCGTCAAAGTGATCCCCCTCTGGTCAGTCCCTACTCTACTGTCCAAAATGGCAAATAAATGCTTGTAGCATACTTTAGTGAACAGATAGTGCCAAGTCTGCATGTTGGATCCCCTCAGCACATGCGTCCGCTACAACGGTGGCAAACGGAAGAAACCGGAAATCTTAAAAGACATAGCTGCGCCCTGGAGCAAGTGTGGCGTAAAACTAGGTTTCTACAAGACTTCACACTAAATAAAGCTGCCCTCCTAAAATAAAATTCCTCCCTCCATGCTGCCAAGCAGACTTATTTTCTCACTCTCATTAATACACTCTCATCCAGACCTCGTCAACTCTTTTCTACTTTTAACTCTCTAATATGTTCCCCTCCACGCACTGACTCACTCACTGGCCAGGAAATTGCATCTATTTTATTTATTAAATGCATGGCAATCTGGGAATAGATCTCCATTGTTCAGTCACCTTCCCCTAATAATGTACCAGACCCACCATCACACCTGCTTCTTTCCTCTTTTGTCCCTGTCACCACAGAGGAGGTTACAAAGCTTTTCTTTGACACCCACCTCACTACTTGCCCCCTGGATCCTGTTCCCTCATCACTACTTCGTTCACCCTCTTGCTTTATCCTACACTCTTACTCACATTTTCAATCTTTCTTTCACTACTGGCATCTTTACCTCCCCTCTAAAGCATGCACTGGTCACCCCCAATACCCAAAAAACCTTCAGTAGACCCCACCAACCTCAGATTAACAATCTCAGACCAATCTCCTTACTCCCATTCACCTCCAAACTCATAGAACGCCTAATCTACAACCGCCCTAGCCACCACCTCACTGATAACAATCTCCTCGACCTCTTACAGTCCAGCTTTCGCCCCCAACACTCCACTGAAACCGCCCTCCTAAAACTTGACTTTTTAAAATAATGGCCACTACTCCTTTCTCTTGCTACCTTTCTGCTGTTTTTGACAGTTGACCATCGCTGCGCCTCAAAAAACTCCACTTGGTTGGCCTACAAGAGTCTGCTCTCTCTCATGGTTCTCCTCCTCCCGATCTAAGTGCTCCTTGGACCCCTTCTCTTCTCTATCTACACCTCCTCCCTTGGTCATTTGATCACCTCACATGGCTTCCAATACCACTTCTATGCTGATGAAACTCCAAATATATCTCTCCACTCCACAACTCCCCCCCTAAGTGTCCTTGCGTATCACTTCACTAATTTACTAACTGACATATCAGTCTGGATGTTCTTAAAGCTAAATCTTTCAAAAACTGAGCTCATGATATTCTCCCCCCGTTCACCCTCCCCCAACTTTTCGATCAGGATTGATAACATTGCTATCCATCCCTCCCCCCATGCCAAGGTGCTAGGTGTCATCCTTGACTCAGACCTCACCTTTCTACCACAGCTGCTGCTAGACTCATCCATCTAACTAAGCGCTCAGTATCTGCAACCCCCCTCTGCCAATCCCTCCACTGGCTTCCAATTGCCCAAAGGATAACATTCAAAATATTAATAACCGCGTACAAAGCCATCCACAACTCTGCCCCCAGCTATATTTCCAACCTTGTCTCAAAGTATCACTCTAACCGTCCCCTCTGCTCTTCCAATGACCTTCTGCTTTCCAGCTCCCTTGTCAACTCCTCCCATGCTCGCCTCCAGGACTTCTCTAGAGTCTCTCCCATTCTTTGGAACTCCTTACCCCAACCTACTCTGACTGCCTTTGGGCGATCACTGAAGATTCGTCTCTTCAGGGAAGCCTATCCCCCTAACACTAGCCACTGAACTATCTCTTTCTCAAACAATTCATCCCAACACAGCTACCTCCTCCTGCAAGGGATGCTGGTGGAGGAAATTACAGAGCTGTGTAACTGTATGTCTTTTATATCTTTCTAGAGTTCAGCTTAAAATCATGTTTCAGCCAATGATGAGCCTGACTTTTTTTTTCCATTCAGCCTAGGCTGTCTCCTGTACACATTCTTTCTTTGCTTGAAGAGGCTTCTGTGGATTCCAGCTATCAGTTATGTAAAGCCTCCCATAAATAAGTAAATGTATAGCAGACCCCAGTACATAAAATAAATCATAGTACTGTATTTCACATACAGTATGATGACTCATGTGCACTGTGGCTGCATCGCCAATCTGCTAAAGGTGATATATTTATAATTATTTGAACAGAATACTTTTCAAATCTTCCCTTTATTTCTTTTTCAATGTAGATGTTTATGAGGACGAAGATGAAAAGCATATCTTAAGTTCACCAACAAACAAAACCTGTACATTCACAGGATTCCTGAATCTAACAGACCCATGTCTATGGGATTTATGGATCAAAAATGAAAGAACATTTCAAGACAGGGTAAGATGTGTTATATGATAATGCTGAAATTAATGCCATGATGTATGTGTCTCCTAGGCATGGGAAATATGAAAACCATGAGATGACAATACTTGTCAATAGTATAGCTAATCTGGCCATACACTTGTAGATTTTTGTTTTCATTCCAAAATTGAATGTTAAAATTAAAATGTGCCCCACAAGGCACTGCGCACACCTCACAGTGCCTTTTGAAGCCCTGATTGGGTACAGCAATGCACCTGACCACAGGTCAGGTGCAACACTTTGCCCAATCACGGCACAGTGCACTGTAAAAGCCATGATTGGGCAAAATAATGGTTACTTCGCCCAATCATGGCTCACGGCTAAGTCCTGTCAGATGTGGGACAAATGTAAACAGTTGGGCAGAGCTAGCAGTGATGGTATTAAAGGGGTACCCCTATGTGAATAAGCCCCCCTGCCCGCACCCCCACAACCAACGCCCCTGGGCTTGTGGCGAGTAGGCCCTTGTCCACATCGGCGCGGGGACAATGTTTTTTTCCAGGGGCGGCCCTAGAAAAGCACCCTCCCAGTGCCGAGGGCATGTGGCCTGGTATATGTTGAGTTTTTGTTTTTAAATGGGGTCCCTCCTAACATTCCTACCAGATCTAAAGCGTCTGTTTTTTGGGAGAGGGAACCGCACGCATTTTCTTTTTCTTTTCTTAATTTTTGCTGCAGCAGGTTCTACACATCGTACAAATGTGCCACTTTACAGGCAGTTTAGGCCTGGTTCACACCTGGGAGTTTTGTAGCACGTTCGAACGCTCTGCAAAATGCTCAAACACCGAAATCCCATTATTTCCTATGGGTATGGTTCACACCTGGGCGTATTACAGGCCGTATGAACGCGCTACAAAACGCCCTATGCCCAAAGAAGTACAGGAGCTTCTTTGGGGCGTTTTTGTCGCACGTTTCCATTGGGATACAGCCAAGTAGCCCTCGGAAATGCGCGTTTGTCACGCATTTTTTTTACCACGTATCGTGGTAAAAACGTGCGACAGACGTGCATATTCGATGCGCCTAGGTGTGAACCCAGCCTTAAGGTGACCCCCGAGGCATGATATTTAAAGGAATTTTTCACTTTAAGCAATGGTAAAATCACTGCTCCTTTTAAAAACTGTATTTTTATTTTTTTTTAAGTGTTTCCCATAACGTGCATATAAGCCTTCAATAAAAGGGACCGAACACAGGTGTGTTCGGTCCATCACTAGTAATAATTAACCCTTTACAACCCCTGCATAATACCTGCCTTGAAACAGACTCACAAGTGTTTATTTTCCAATGTCTGTCATTATTGGTTTTTGATAATTAGTGTTAAGCAGTAGAATATTTTGTTTTGCAGATCACCAATGTGTATGAAAAATCTCCTTCACTTCAATACTATTTCACTGGTGCCAACATAGAATATAATTCAACGTAAGCCAGCATTTCATTTTGTTGTATGTTGACAGCTGTGAGAAAATAATTACATACATCTTTTATATGGAGCCATATGGAGTGAGACATGATGTCATAAATGCTAATAATAACAGATGTTCAGGCGCTTTCATGTTTTCAAACTATGCATAGTTAATTCTGTTGTAAATGATGAATAATAATATATAATCTTATCTGAACAGTAGATACAATTGCATGCATGAGAGCTCAGAATCAATACAGGAAGGAGAATATTTACTAAATGTGGGAGTTGTGTACAGTAAACCATTGGTGTTTATTTGTAGCATCAATCTACCAGTGCCAGGAACAGCATCCAAGACTTTTCATACTTATGCTGTGTGGACCTGATATCTCAGGTGCTTGCTTTCTGTTAGCACAAATGGAAATATGCCTGTCCTGAGAAAGGTATTGCTGACCTGCTTCCGATGTTAATTGCCCGGCTCTAGTACTTTCGAGTTACTGGCTGGCAAGTTAGCCTTGAAGCCAAAGCATCCGCTTGACAGTCAGGAAAGTTACTTTCATTAAAGCCAGGCAAAGAAAAAAACTTACCTTTGCTACCCCCACTACAAGAGGTAGGTGCTCGTTTTGTCGAGGGGACTCAAATAAAGCTGTTTCACTTATCTGAGCCTTTCTCCCATGGCGGTCAGCGCTCACTTGTTCTCCCTCTCTGCTCTGTCTATGGGACGTCCCTTGGCATCCCCACATCTAATGCGGGTTAATTGACCTCCATAAGATGCAATGATGTCAGCGGCCCTTAACCCGCTGGAGCAAAGGGGAGAAGAGGTTGCAGGGACCAGTCTAGCAACCTGGACAGAGATGGTTGGAGTGGTAATTACAATTGCTTTAATAGTGTCCCCTAGACATAAACAAGCGCTTAACCCTTGCAGTGGGGGGATAGCCCCAGGATAAGTTTTTTTGTTTCCCGGAGATGGGCTTTGGAGGAGAGGTCAGCAATGGCAGGTTACACAATGTTCTCATGACCGGTGTACTTGAAATCCAAAATGTAATAATATAGCTGGAGGAAAAGTTAATGGAACCATGTAAAACATATTTCCAACAACCTCCTCCTGTCTCCTTTTCACTCTAGTTATAATTTCTCAGGTGGTGCCTATAACTTACCTACGAAATACCAATCTTTAATAAATAAATGAAACACAAGTAGACAATATCATTATACAGAGGGCCAGTCCCTCTTTTGAAACCAAATCCCTCTGTTCTTTTTCCTCCACAGTTGTGCCTTTTTTCCACAGTTGTCCCTCTAAATTATTGTATTTATTATTTTGAAAAGTCAGTATAATAGAAAAGTAGTGGTGGTGACTGGTGGGTTTAACCAAATATTTTTGTTGTATTGAATTCTTTGTGGTCTATGTAATGGGGGCATCACAGGACTGTGTCCTTTGCCTGCATACTTTGTGCTAAAAGGTATCCCTCTCCCTCATCTCAGAAAGCTGAGTTATATGACAATTCTTACTCCAAAGCCCAAGAGAATGGCAGTCATCAGGGATACCAGTGGCAGGGATAGGCTTTACATTAGACATGTGCACAGCATACTAATTCATTCTGGATGAAACGAATGAAAAGGGAAAAACCTTTGATGAAATGAATTATTATGCTGATTCAGAGGCAACGAACCTCCAAATCCGAAAGCACACATTAAAAAAAAAAAAAAGGAGCGTGCGGTGGCCATATTGGCCATATTGGCCATCTGTGGAGTTATGTGGAGGCGGGGTGTACGATGTCCCATGATGCCAGGGCAAGATGGAGGTGCCCATACAAAACGAATTGCTATATGCCCGAATATAGTTTATATACGGGCATATAATAATTTGTTAATTTGGATTTGGACGAATGACCAAATCAAAGGAATTGTGTATTTCAGCAAGTTCGTCCAAATCCGATTGCACATCTCTACTTTACATGATTGCACACTGTAGATATATGACTTTGAAAGTGCACTACTATATTTGACAAAGAATTCCAGCCACTGTAATAAGTGGAATCATCATGCCATCGGCAAGTCCAATGAGCTCTGTGTATTCTAATATAACTACACCTGTTGAAATGATGGTTCTTTCATACAACATACATTTCAAATTATAAATACAAGATATTATTTATTTTTTTAGCAATGAGAACAAATCTGCAATTATTAAACTGGAATTTGCAAGTCCCTCAAAAACTTCCAAATACTTGATCAGTACAGAATTGGTGGAGGGTATACTGAGACAAGATATCTATGATTTAGACCATTCTGCATGTCAGCTTTCAAACACATTGTTGAATGCATTTCAAGTCACTTCGCTGAGTAAGTATATCCTTGTAAGGAATAGCTCAAATGTTTATTTTAGAAATTCTGCTTTTAGAGGGATTTTTTTATGCTCAGGTGTCCATGCACCTTGTGGTATTTAAATATGTATTTTAGACTTGCCCCAAACATGCATTTTGGGAGGAGCTTACTGGCGTAAATGTGCACTTAAGCAGCAAATTCATTCTAGTAGTTTAAATAAATGAATATGTTAGACAATATAATCAATTTACGTACATACGCCGGATGTGCGTGAATGCACATAAATGGGAGTGATTGCGCGCCAGAAGAGGCATTTTATATGCTGGATTTTTCAGCCAGCTTCTGTCAGAAAGATCTGGCATAGATGGGAGTATTTTATTACACCTATATGCATGAGGCCTAATATGGCATGCAGAATTAAAACACTTTTTTGTTGGTATGCAAGACCCTTAAACTATGTTACAGGTCTGTAAGCAGCACTGACTGTCTACATTGGTTCAAATGCCGCCACCATTCACACATTTCAGCAATGATGTTGCTTCAGTACTGTGATTTGCCTGTTGTGGTTTCAATCGACGTATCAAGCTCATATGTGGCAGTGTGCTACTTTTCATACAGCAAATACCCCTATCTACTGCAGAAGTAATTGGCCTCTGCTGGCACATGACTGAATTTGGATCTCATGGTACTTCTAGCCACACTGCACAATCTACCAGAAAAATCTTCAGTATCTAAATGATGATGACAATGATAATAATGTGATACCACTTACTGATTTAGCAAGGGGCTGATTCATTCACGATATGATATATTATGTAAGGTAATTTAACCTGTTATTTCTTTTCTCTTTGCACGTTTATTAATGTTTTGTAGAAATGGAAAAAAAATTTAAGATGTCTCCTTACAACTCTGCTTTATGTAAACCAGAAATTGGTGCCGTGACTGTGATTCAATGTGACAAAGTTTGTATATTTTTTTCAATGTAGTCTGTTGACTTAACTTAAACAAGAATGACATAACTGTTGCTGTCAAATAAATTAGTTTATATTTTTATACAAGCATGGACTTGTGTGTTTTCTGGTCATTAGATTGTGCTTTCGGACATTAGTCATACACATAAGGTAGATGGGGTTTAGTGAAGGTATCAGCCATACATCGGCTGCCTTTTGCCGCACTTTGATCAGCCGCTCATGCTCTACTTGTTTTGGCTGAGCCGAAGATCTGGATCAGCTGAGCCGAAGCTCTGGCACCTCACTCACTGCCTTTCGCCCCTATTCAAATAGGAGTGAGTGAATAGCTTTTCCTTTTGGCTATTCTGCTCGGTACCTCCATAGTACTGAGCAGAATAGCAAATAAAAAAAAAGTTGAAAAATTATTTTAAAATGTAAACAAATTGAAAAATAAAGATTTTTTTAAAAAGGAAAAAAAAACAATTGGGCAGAGCTAGCAGTGACAGCTAGCTCCACCCAACTGTCTCCTATTGGCCGGCACCTGCCCTGGCCAATGAATAACAACTGGGCGGAGCTGACCGTGACGTCACAGCAGGCTCCGCCCAGTTGTTGTTGTTTAATGACAGTTCAGCATCCCCAGGTCATTTGGGGATGTTGATCTGTCATTACAACTGGGTGGAGCCAGCCTTGAGATCACAGCTGGCTCCGCCCAGCTTTCATTTGCAGGGGGTTAAAGGCCGGCCTTCGGCAGGTTATTCGCCCCGCTTCGGCTGACACTTCAGCTCAGTTAAACCGAAGCAAATGCCTTCTGCTCAGCTGAGCCACTCGGCCGCTTTCAGGACAATAGCCGTACAACAGCCCTTCGGATCCCGCAACCGAAGCTAGCCCAAGGATCAGCCGATCATGCAATCACATCATTTATAACTAATTAGTATGTAGATTCTTGGGTGTGACAAGCTCAACTGTAATTTCCCCACACTTTCATAATCAAACCTCATTATAGTGGCCACATATAAAGTATGTTGTATTGCTGCTGATAAGTTAGGCTTGAAAGCTGAATTCCAGGCAAAAAAATAAAAAAAAAACACTTCTATTCACACACTGCCAATGGCTCGGGGATAATACACCAGTCTGGAGTCTAATGGTACACAAAAATCAAACTCTAAAAACATACATGCCCTGTTTCAAGACTACAATGGACCAGACTGGTGTTTAAATATCTTTCCAATGTCAAATATTATGCCATACACAAATAATAATACGCTGCATCTTTAAAAACAATACCTTTTTATTGCATAACATATATAAAAGGCATATAGTAAACCCCAATTAAAAATTTACCCCATATTCCCTATAACCTTCATCAGGATTTTCAATGTTGAGTAATGAACCGTAAATACTAGAATATGAGGACTCAAAGGATTTTGGCAGTAAGGAGTAATTCCACATTGCATATGCCTATCCCTATAATACAGTTGGATGCAAGGAATCAATCCTCTTGTATATTTGTTCTTCATGGCACACAGGAGTCATAGATCTCTTACACTGCACACATTAGGTACATGCTCCAGAGTGATCTCCAGCCTGACAAAGTCTGCACATACCTCCCAGCTGTCCCTCTTTTGGAGCCAAATTTCTCCTCAGTTGTCCCTCTGTTTGAACAGATGTATAGACCTCTATAATAAATGCAATGGCAAAAGTATTACATTATACTAATTTGTTATGCAAACCTATTTATGGCCACATATTTATTTTTAATAGCCAGTATAAAGGAAACCTGCTGATAAACTTGCAAGCATTAATATTTCCCACCTCACACCCCTACTGGGCACCAATGCCCCCCATCAGCCCCCACTTTCTCCCACTAGCCTCCGACACTGAGCAATTTTCTCTTTCCGATAACTACCACAGCAAGGATTTTTCCTGCAACAGATTCAAGGTGCATTTTTTTCCTCCCCCCTCCCATCCCCATTGACCACAGGCCTTTTTTCCCACAACTGACACTGGGACATTATTTCCTCCCACTGACCAGCAATGTAAGGGGCTGTATGATGCATACTTCTATTAACTGCACTCTGTACACTATATTGTACATTGCTACACTCTATATGCTGAGTAGTATGATACATAGAACTGCCCCCTGCACGCTGTACTTTATGCTGTGTGTTAAATAGTCCTGACCAAAGTACTTATTTTCTCAACAATTCTAATGAAGTTATTCTTTAAGGTAGGCTCAGACAAAGTGTTAGCGCTCTGTATACATTCAGTTTTTGTGGGGGGGGGGTATATGCTTTAGGTTTATGTAAGTGAGACTCTCACTCACAGCACATCAATTATGAGGTATTTTGTGGGTGCAAGGACTGTAGACTGTGCATACAATACATAGGCTCAGACTCTATTTAACCATGCCCCTTTAAGCTATGCCCATTTTCAACATGGCATGATGGACGCACCACAGGTCTTCTCGATGCTAAGATTACCCTCTTTTTCCAGCTCCATTGTTGGGAGTACATTACCCTTGAACTTTTACTATTGTGAATGACAATATGCAAAAATGCTACTTGCAAAAAAACATGCTCTTATTTAAATGAAGTTATGCTTCTAATAATAATAATAATACAATTTCAAGTCTGGAGTTCTGCATCTTTTAAAATGGCTTTTTTTATTTACTGCATGATTCATTAAACACATCTTGAAATATAAATATATTAAAATGATGCATATTTATATGAATAATAAAACTTACTACTGTACTAAAATGTAAATATAAAAATAACAAATGTGTGAACTGCTACAATAATCAATAAAACACCCTGGAAAGACAAGAGTGAAAACACATTCACTTTGCTACAAAAAAAGTGTATAAAGCTTTGCCTGTTAATATTATAAAGTTCCAGTAGGTGGCGCTACAGCTTCATTTAACAAAATATACATTTACTGCCTGAAAAAATGAATTGGAGAATACACACACTTGACCTGATTTACTAAAAGGAAATGCGCAGAAGTGGGAAGAAATGTCTATGATGATAAATATGTTTGCAGGTTTGCTTGAACATGCAAATTTTTATGCATTGGGTAAATGCAATGCTTTAAAATAATGTGATCAGGCATAACCCTTGTTCACCCCTCTGCAGTGCGACAACACAAAGGTGCTGTAGGGTGCACTTGTGGGGTTCAGCGATAGACAACCCCTTCCATTGAATGGGCTGCCTACCACGGCTAAAGTGCAAGTGTGTACTTCTTTATTTAATATTGCATTACACTACATTGCATGGTATTTATTTCTGTTGGTGTTGCTGTTGGAGATTTACCCTCACCTACTCTCTCTAACCTCTAACGGCTCCACCGGATATAAGCAAAAAGCAGACGGGGGTTAAAAAGAAAAGTTTGGGCTGAACATCCACTTTAAAGGAAAGCTATATTGTATTTTAACATCACCTAAAGGAAACTTGTGATATAATTCCTGTTTGTCGTGCTCCATGATTTCATGATTGTCATTTACTTGCTGTATGGTTCCCTCTAGTGTCTGTTTTTAAGGAAGCATGATCAGAATTCCTGCTGTAGGGCTGATGACCTCAGAGTTTTACTTTTCATCAGTCTGACCAGCTTACCATACAGTACATATTTACCAACTACACATAGGATCGCCAATGTCATTTTTTTTTAAAAGACAGTTGCCCGCAAAAGTACTATAGCTTAGAAATGATAATTATTTGCAGAATACAAAGTATTAAAGCAAAAACTTTCATTAAAATATATTCCTCAAAAGCCACAAAGGATATAAATCCACTTCGTGTGCACCAAATGCATTGCAAACACAGATATTGCCTTGTAAATGTAGCAGTGACATTATAAATGTGCTGTACATATCCTGTGCACAGAGCAGAGCTGTGGGAAGGACCCAGCAGACCCCACCAACTACAGGCTGCTTCCAGGAAACTACAGGAGAGCACAAGGAAAATGAGCAGCAGTGACCATTTTTTATTACAAAGTTTCACACTGGATAACTGCACAGATCTGGAAGAAATGCACAAAGCACACCAAGATTAATAGTTACATTGTATTTGAGGTTGAAGAAAGACACAGGTCCATCAAGTTCAACCTCTGTGTATGTCTGTGTGTGTGTTGTGCATGCGTGTATATAAGAGTCCCTGTGTGGTCTAGTATTTAAGAGTACCTGTACCTCTGTATGTTACGGTCTCTTAGGACTGTATCTACTTGATTTTTGAATGAATCAATATTCTTTGCAGATACCACTGCTAGTGGCAGAGAGTTCTAAAATGTAACCGCTCTAACTGAAAAGAATCCCCTATGCCCTGTGTGGATAAATCTTTTCTCTACCAATTTTAGGTGGTGGCCTCTAGTCCTTGTTATGGAGTTTACAGTAAAAAGTTTAGTGCCGATGTTGACATCACCACTAAACATTTTGTACAACAAAATCATGTCCCCTCTTATTCTCCTTACTTCCAGTGTGAACAAGTTTAAATTTAGCAACCTCGTCTCATACCTTTGTTCCTCCAGCCCCTTAAAGGAGAACTA